ACCACTAGTGTAGCACCAAATGTCAGAGATTGGGCTACTATTCCTAGGTTTAGTGGGGTGGTTTCAGGCATGTGGGTAACAATTGGGTGTGTCTGCTGAAGGAGAGGAGGGTACTGAGTGGCTCATCAGACCCAGGACTGATGTGGGGGTTCCTGGATCTAGGGGGTGGCTGTAATTATTAATACATGGTTGGCCATGTTGTTCTTCCAGCAGAGCATGTCTTTTCTGTTTGTTTGTTACTTTTCTAAGTCTAATGTTTGATAGCTTTTTTATTTTCTGTAGCTGCTATCTGTGTCATCTATTACTGCTATCCTTCCCCAGCTTCCTAATTTGTTCTCCTGTCACTATACTTATGTACCCGAGGTTTTGTTTGTAGTTCATGGAGACACAGGAATGTAGCGTATGTCTACAATCTGCCATCTTCCCCCGTAAGCATGGTATATCTCTCTCCATTTATTTTTCATTTTCTCTCAAGGGTAGTATAATTTTCATGTAGGAGTAGTGCTTGACTTTTTCATCAACTTTTTCCTGAGAATTTGTTTTTTTTTTTAACTAATTTAAGTTGATGTTCTTTTTAAGATGTTCATTCATTAGTTCCATATGTCTAAATGAAATTCATAATTTATGCATGTATCCTAATAACATCCACCATGACACTATTAACATATTTCTAGTGTTACGCTTTAGACATCTCTCATAATTTTTTAAATAGATACAGGAAATAGAGACATTTTTACTTCTTTGTTGTATGTTCTTTCTTCATCTTACTTCTTTTACTATAATTTATTGCATGCCTGAAACCCCAAATAAAACATTGACTAGAAGCAGTGAGAGTGGACGTCTTATTTCTCAATGCTAGGTCAAAAAACATACAAGATTCTACTATTAAGACTAAATATCTTAGCTAGGCTCATATCTGTAATTCCTACTACTTGGGAGTGAGAGATTGGAAGGATTGCAAATCCAAGCCAGCCTGGGAATAAAGGAGCAAATCCTCATCTCTACAAACAAGTAAGGTGTGGTGTTGCACACATGTTGTCCTGGCTACTTAGAAACAAATGTAGAGGATTATTGTCTGAAGTTGGTCCCTAGAAAAATACAAGACCTTTTATTATATAAAAAATCTTACCTAAAGTACAAAGGACTTGAGGTATGGCTCAAGTGGTAGAGTGCTTTCCTAACAAATGTGGGGCCCTAAGTTTAACAGGTATCACCAAAAATAAAGGCTAAATAGCTTATTTTACCTAACACGCATTCACCAGCTTCATCTATATTGATGTTATAAATATCAGAATAGCTACTATTTCAAGGCTGAATAATGTCCAGAGTGTGCATGCATGTGTTCAGTTCTTTCAGCTCCCAGATGATGCTGTTAACATGACTCGTAGAGGGAATACCACAAAATTGTGAACAGTTCACTCTAGTATTAATGTGGAAAGTTTATTCTCAATTTGTGGAAGTTCATGCTTTCTGCGAATCCCTGACATTTAGGTACCCACCAAATTTCTAGCTGCTTTCTAAAGCTCTGTCTTTAACCATCCTCTTCCATGCCTCCTTTCTTCTCTTTCCTGTTTGAAGAACTTTTTTCCCCATTTGGTGGTAGCAGAGTTTGAACTCAGGGCTTCACATTTGCTAGGCTGTGCTCTACCACTTGAACAACACCACCAGCCCTTTTTAGCATTTGTTAATTTTGAGACAGGATCTCACTTTATGCTCAGGCAGCCTGGAGAGTGATTCTCCTAATTTTGCTTCCCCCATAACTGGGATGACAAGCACATGCCTGCCATTCATTCGTTGGTTGTGACAGTGTATCATGAACTTTGCCCAAGTTGGCATTGAACCTCATTCTTCCTGATGTCCTCCTCCCAAGTAGCAAGGTTTACAGGGTTGAGGTATTGTACCTGAATAGAATAACTATAATACTTGTGTTTCTCCTCGGGTAGTAACTGTGAGCAGGAAGACTTTCCATTCTCCTGCATTTCAATTTTTTAATTCAGGAAAGAAATTACTTTTGCTTGGAACTGTCCCTCTCAGTCCAGCAGAAAGGAAGGTACAATTCCTCATGGGATTTGCATCCTTCTTTTTTTGGTGTTTCTCTTTTTACACATCTAGACAGTCTTTTTCCTTTGAATTTAGAGCTTGCCCTTTAGGCCACACATTTCTTCTTTATTTATGTTTCTTCTTTTCTTTCATGTTCATAGTCCTTAACATTCTTTCTTTCTCTTTCCTTATGGAAATCCAATGATATGCATAGGATTTATATTGTAAAACCGTGGTGACAGCGTCACAGCCCCAGATCCAGCCTCCAGGGTAATAAGAAGCTCTCAATTATTGGGTCTCAGAGACCAAGGAGCTGACTTTAATTTTACAGTCTATGTTGATTAATTCCTATATTTTAAATCTTAATAGTTTTGGTTCTGTTGTTTACATTGTTTCCCATGTATGGTATTTTGTTCCTTTTTGTTGACCATATTTTTCCCTATGAATTATAGAATGAATAAAATATTCAGTTATTTATATTTGTGTATTCAGTTCACCCAAATGTAATTATTGACCTATGCCATCTAATATGCAAATACAAGTTTTGAGAACTCTAGATATGACCTGTGCAAGATTTGGTTACTTCCAGTTTCCTTTCATCTTTAGGATATATGGGAGGTGCGTCAATCAGACTTCTCGCAGAGCCATGTTCTAGTTTTTGGTTCTACTGCTGTTATACCAGGTTACTGAGACTACCTTTTTATGGAAGGACAGAGAGGTGAACCCAAGGCTTCATGCTACCAAAGCAGGTCCTCTACCACTTGAGCCACATATCCAGTCCATTTTGGTCTTTTTATTTGGAGATAGGATCTCACAAACTATTTGCCTGGACTGTCCTCAAACCACGATACATCCAATCTCAGCCTCCTAAGTAGCTAGGATTACAAGCACGAGCCACTGAATATGGAAAACATTCTTATGACTTAACAAATTATGCCATCACAAAAGAATTTTTTAGTTTTGGGTGTGTTTTCTGTGTTCTCATAAAATGTGGTGATGCAATTTGTTATTATCCTGTAAGCCCTAATTTGATATTTAAGACATACATACCATTTCATTGTATGTTTCAATTATGCTTCCCATGAGACTAATTAAAGTAACAAACACTACCTTTGTTGGAACAGAACCCTCTAAAGTTAATTGCACGCACATGAGTGAAGTATTAGACTCACACAACTGTAGACAGGTAATACCATATTCATCATGTACTGTGCTTTAATCCTTGCACAGGTTGTATGTAACCACTGGGACCTGCAGTGACCATTACCTACCCTGCTATATCAGACTCCCACACTTGGTTCTGTTTTTTCTTTCACTATAAAACTCATTATAGTCTATATGATTTAATTTTAACTGTTTTTGTCTCAATCCTGTACTAGCACATAAATTCCATCTTAACTATCACTTGGGACACCAGTGGCCCAAAGACTGCAGGGAATAGAAAAATCACATAATATAATTCCCGAATTTATGAAAGAATAAGTAAATGAAGGAATAGATCAATGCCCTTTATTCTAGCAGTAATAAGGTGGAAATTTGGTTCTGAAACATCAAGGAGGTGAAAGGAATGGAAATAAATATGAGAATCGTCAGTATATAAATGTGGATAACTTGTCTCCAGGAAGAGTCTTAATTTCAAGGGCGAGAAGAACAACTCTGCTCCAACATCATGGGTGGGATATGGGTCTGATCCTGAAGTCATTCCAATAGTTTACTCTTCCCAGCCTCATCATTGTCACACTGCAATCTGGACTTTCTTCTTGGAAGTTAGTGTTTGTTTCTGTTATACTCACTCCTTAGAAGTTCAGGACTGCCCTGCTCAATCCAACAAAGGAACTCACATGTTTCAACCAAACAGAAGAATTCACAGTTTATTTAGATATAACTCTACCTAGTCTTCTCTATGGTCCCAAAATTAGACCAGCATCAGAAAGAAGCCAAAAATACAGCCAAAATAAATGTCCCCAAAGCCTATTCTCCAAGGGATAACTATATTACAAGAAGAACGATTATAAGAATTTTTCTCTATGATTGCACATTGAACTTACTCTTCCATTGAACTCAGTGAAAAGTATAGTTATCAGCTTTTCAGGACCTTGTGTGTGTGTGTGTGTGGTGGTACTGGGTTTTAATTGAAGGAGGTGGGCCTTTTAACATTTGAGACACACTTCCATCCCAGTTATCAGGCTTATCTCAGGATAACATGATATTGGAGTTTACACAACCTAAATAATTGAGATTTATGTTCATCCACTTTCAGTTACTTTAACAAATTGCTGAAATAATGATCCTTAAAGATGAAAGATTTATTTTGGCACACAGCTTTTGAAGTTTCAGTATATGATGAGTTTGTTCTGTTGCTCTGAGTCTTTAGCAGTGTATCATGGGAAGAACACATTGTAGGGCAAAGTCACTCCCCTAATGATCAATAAGAAAAACAGAAGCCAAATGGACTGGGGTCTCACTATTTACAATGATACCAAGCCTCCACTGAACTAAAGATTCTCTACAACCCTAAAAGCTTCCACTGCCCCTCAATTATACCACACCAGGGACCACTCCATTAACAACCGTATGGACTGTAGCAATGCTTATATTCAAATTTTAACAAGCTATAATAACATTAAAATATCACAATGAATGCCTTAACAATGAATATGAGTACAAATATGAAAAGATTTTCAACAAATTTTGTTTTATGTAAACCAAATTCTGCTTTTAATGATAAATGTAATTTAGTTTTGTTTAGGTAACTCATAATGAGCCTCTTGTTTACTCAATAATCTGAAAATTGAACCCCCATCTAATCCCCATATTATTATTGAACCTAATATTCTGAAACCTCAAATGAATTGTTCAATTTCAACAGTTATAGTTAAACTTTAGAGACTCAATTTCTCTTTTTAGTATAGCTATAGGTTATTATTACTATAAAAAATCCTAAAAAAATAACTGAACACTCAGTAAGAAAACATTTTCCTACCAAGCTTTCTCTTCAGAGCACCTTTAATCTCACTATTCCTGAGACTGTAGATCAGGGGATTCAACATGGGGATCATCACCATGTAGAACACAGACACCACCTTGTTTTGGTCAGTGGAGAAGAAAGATTTGGGCATCACATAAATGAACATAATTGTCCCATAGAACAGAGTGACTGCAGTGAGGTGGGAGGTGCAGGTGGAAATGGCCTTCTGGCTGCTATCGGTGGTGTGCATTTTCAAGATAGTGATGAGGATGTAGATGTAGGACACAGCAATGACAATCATTGTGAACACAATGATGGAGCCAGCAGAAAATGTGGAAACTACTGTGAGGGCACTAACATCACCACAGGATAGTTCAATTAAAGGGGCAAAATCACAGAAAAAGTGATTGACTTTGTTTGGTCCACAAAAGAATAACAAAAAGAATGAAAGGGTAAAGGAGGAAGCATTAAGAAAACTACCTACGTAAGCTACTACAAGTAACTGGACACAGACCTTTGTGGATATTTTGGTTGAATACAGCAGTGGGTTGCAGATGGCCACAAATCTATCATATGCCATGGCAGCCAGAAGGAAGCACTCAACTGCCCCAAAGAAAGCTGTCGAACTAAGTTGGATGTCACATCCAAGGTAAGAGATTGTATGTCTTTCCACCAGGAAGTTAACAAGCATATTGGGTGTGACAGTAGATGAAAAAACCATGTCAGCAAAAGCCAAATGGCTCAGAAAAAAGTACATGGGATGGTGGAGCTGAGAAGAGACTCTGATAAGAATGATTGTGCTGAGATTGCCAGATATGGTGACCAGGTAGATGCACAGGATGACCATGAAGAGGATGACCCGAAGGACTGCATCATCGGTCAAACCCAATAAAATGAACTCTGTCACTACAGTGCGGTTCCAAACCAACAGGGAATCATCCATGGGACACTGTAGCTGCTATCAAAGCAAACCTGTGATGGAAACATTGCATGAAGAATTTGTAAATATGATGTTTTCCCTTTCATTAACACACATGGAATGTCATCATAAATAGATATTCAAGTACCAACCAGCGCATATTTACATGCATTGATGAATCCATCAGTATTCTTCCTATGCTGTCTCTTCTTTATGTTTTCTTTTTTTTTCTTGCTCTAGAATTTATTCACAGATCCAAGAAGAAAGTTTTCTTTCTTTTGCGTTGGCTAAGGCAAAATGATATCAGCCTAAAACCAACAGCAATCATCTTGCTAAACCTCATAGAGGTAACCTACCCACAGTAGAAAGTGATGATACTGGGGATGAGGGCACTGGCAAAGACCCTCTCCCTAACTAAATTCTAGCTAGACTCCTCTGAGTCTTCCTCTCAAGTAGGACTCAACCTTGATCTATAAAGATGAACTAATCCCCAGCACTGAGGAAGAGAAGGGCAAGCTATAAGACTTGAACTGAACACTAACATTGTTTCTAAGACCTCAAGGACACATCCCTAGAATGACTCTACCAACTCTTAAAGTGCCGATCTAAGAAAACCCAAACATGTCAAAAAATTTACTATTGATTTCAGCCAACACCTGATGATAGAATCCTCGACTCCCATCCTCTGTGTGAGGGAGGTGGCCTAATTTCAGTAAGTGCCAGTTAATAAACCTATGGGTTTCACATGGACCAACCCCACTTTCCCGCTTTTAGTAATATTTCATTTCCCTGATTCTCCTTAGCCTTTACTCACTCCCCTCCCTGTCCCTCACTCACCCTTTAAAAGGCCCAGTCACCTCAGCACAAAGTGAAGTTGAATTCAGTTCAGACTGGACTTTTTTCTACTCCAATAATATATTACTGATTAAAAATCTTTCCTTACCACTTTAATGTGTGGATTTGTTTATCTTTGACAGTAGAGATAAGGGGACCAGTGATGAATCCATCAGTATTCTTCCTATGCTGTCTCTTCTTTATGTTTTCATATTTGCAAACTGTGTATTACATGGCCTTAAAGTCAAATAAGAAAAATATCGTTCAGATGAAAATAACAACAATGAACGCTAAATATACTGGAAATAAAGAACATACTTAGAGTTTTATAAGAAAGACTCAGGAGGTAATAATTATATGCCTCTTAAATGATCAGGATACAACTAAGAATTATATATGTAAATAAATATGTATACTTATATATTTTAATACATTTTCAATAAAATAACATTATTTTCACTAACATTGTACAACTGAGTTAGAAGGGTCTGAAAGAGAATATGTAACTTGCACATGGTTATACAGCAAGTGATAAAGTCATATATAAAGCCTAGAAGACCAGGTACCAGTTCCTTTAGTAACTATGTGGTAATGAGGTTAAATTATAATTACCATGCAATCTAATACACCTAGCAATAAATACAGAGCAGCTTTCTTTAACCTTCTTAAAACTGATGTATAATAGAGTAACTTGGCTATTTTACACTTCAAGATATCTATCAGTTTAACACAAGTGTTTATCGATTTACTTTTTGTTTTTCAGTGGTACTGCGGTTTGAACTCAGGGCCTCATGCTTGCAAGGCAGGCACTCTACCACTTCAGCCACTCCACCAGCCCTAAGTGTTTATTGAGAAGAAAAAAAATGTTCCTTATACTATAACCAGACAGGAATTTTAAATTAAGATAAAAAATGGGTCAACTACTGTTTCACCAATAGTTTGCATTTATTGGCTGTTTTCATATATTTCAAACAGAAAGTATTGCTTTAGTAAATATTTTGAAATATCAACAATCAAGGAAAAAATCATTTGATACACAATACAAAGTAAAGTAGGTTTATTCAAATAAAACTTCTGAGTATAACAATGATTTATAATTGGGATTTTTCCCATGAAGTAAAGTTATTTTAAACATAATATAGTGCCAAAGAAAGTCTATACTACAAACTTAGGATGGATCACTGTGTAGTCAGCTTGATTCTCATCTCCAAATTCTCTGAGTGTATATACTAAGCTTTGTGTAAACTTTACAAGACTTTAAAACTATTCAGATGCATCAAAAAGGACTTCTGTAAAGATTTTTATACTTCACATTTTTAAATCTTCAATTTAAATCTTTAAGTATTAACAAATACCCAAAGCAACTAAAAGCTAGCATTTTGGTGGAGTGCTAATTTGGATAGTGCTGAAAGACTAGAAGAATTTCTGTCCTGTGGCTAAGTTAACAAATGATAGTGGTAATGGATTATAACTGTTTACTCACAGAAAATTGATGGTGTAAGCAGAGCATGTCAGCCAAAATTGGTTACTAACTGGTTGCTTGGCTACATCTGCACTGTTTCTGCACTATGATTTGTGAGAATAGATATCTTTGGAGAGTAAAGCTTTCTCAAATATTAAATGAACCTCAAAAGTTAAATTCATTTAGAAAGGCCAAATTCTTACCTCTTGAAATGAGTACTTACTCATCTTTTGATAACAACACAAAGTCATAGTGGTTATATAGCTATTTTTCAATTTTTGTTCTCCTATGGGGATAAATCCCTGAAGATGATGGAGATTCAAGTATGACTTCTAATCATCATGGAGCATCATTAGAATCTAGAGTGAGTATAGAGCAACAATTCACACAACAGAGCAACTATTCTGTCAAGATAGTACCAATTATCAGGTGGTCAATTTATTCTTTTGCTTCTATCTAAATGTTCATGCATAGACTTTTGTTTATTATTTACTATCATTAAACAAAATTTCTGATATTTAAATATTATTTCTAGATACACCTTGCTATTTACAATTAAGAAATGATACTAAACTTAAGGCATAAAATGCTAACATTAGCTTCAAACAATCAGTATGCATGTTTTGCTAAGTATTTTGTATTAATATTTGCAACATGTGGCATAAAAGTAATTTGAGCACACATGAGGTAGAATATCATATAAAGCTGAGTTTTTAATAACAAAAATTTAAGGCATGTATATTATCACATCAAAAGGAAGAAAATAAATGCCTTGAAAATTTTATAAAGAAGTACAAATTAAAACCATGCTTAGATGACTTCCAGAAGGTAAATAGTGTCAAAGCGCATTCTCTTGAGTAGCTCCTGTGATATAGAACAACAGAATATTCAACACAAACACATAGTATTATTCTAGTTCTCTTACTAATCCTCATTGTAGACTCTGCTGTTTACACCCCCTGTAGCCCAAGTTTTGAGGGAGGGTGTTTAAAAGAACTTGATAATCAGAATCAATTTTCCTGCAGAGCTCACTTTTTACCAACTTCTATGCTAAGTACTTAACAAATATTTAATTTTGTGAGGCAGGTGCTTTTATTATCTTCATTTTTCAAAAGAGAGGAATAAGATGAAAAAATTCAAACAATGTATGATGCTAGATTTCAGCTGTCATCTTCCTGTTTCCAGTTTTGTCCAGTAAAGTCTCCACATTAATGTTCACTCTTTATCTGAAGCCTTAGACTTTCTTGGAAGCCATCACCAGCCTGTTCAGTCCACATGCAAGCACCTCCCAGTTGTGGAAGCAGTTAATATCCCTGAAAGAAAGTCCAAATATTGAGCTCGGAATTCATGCATGCACATTTCCCCTTAGCAATGAGATGGACCATTCTGCAAGGCCATTGCTGAGTTTCTCACATTAAGAGTAGAAATGAATTTGTTGTTCCAGCAGGGACGTTAATTATGCATTCAGGAAGAAGGACCTTAGGGGGAGAATGGGAATCTCTTACATGCAGGAATGCATAAAGTGAATGGAAAATGCAAACATCTCGTATAATACAAACACGTTTTCTTCTGATACATTTAAAATACAAAAACTTCACCAATCAAAAATTACAATATTGCTCTTTGGTGTCTTTATATAAATATGTATATAAAATAACAATATCATAAAAGTAGTACAAGGAAAATAAACATGCAAGGTCTTTGGATTTGTATATTTCCTACAATTTACTATATTCCTAATTCTAGGTAAAGTGTGAAGTTTAGGAACAATTGTAATAGCAAGAAATTGTTTAAAAAATAACATATTTAGCTTCCAAAGTATTCCCTAATGATCTGGATTTCAATGGTGTTTGCTGTGATATCCTCTTTTCCATCTCTAATTTCATTAAGGTGGGTCTTTTCCTTTCTACTTCTAGTCAGATTGGCTAAGGGTTTATCAATCTTACTTATCTTTTTGTTTCATCAATTCATTTTATAGTTTTTATTTCTATTTCATTAATTTCTGCCCACATTTTAATTATATCCTCATATATGCTAATTGGGGGTTTAGTTTGTTCTGTTTTTCTAGGAGCTTGATGTTCATCATTAGATTTTTATTTTAGATCTCTTTTTCTATAGCAAGCACTAAAAGCTATAACTTTCTTGTTAGTGCTGCATTTGCTGTATCCGATAGGTTCTGATAGGCTGTTTTCATTTTCATTACATGCTAGGAACCTTCAGATTTCCTTCTCCCTACATTATTTTTTCAATGACCCACTGGTCACTCAATGGTGTGTTGTTCAGTCTCCATGTGTTTAAATATATATATATATATATATATATATATATATATATATATATATATATATATATATATATATATATATATATATATATATATGTTAGTTTTTAGTTTCTTTGGGTTTGTTTATTTCTTTCAGGTTTTTTTTAATTTGGGTTTTTTTTTGCTTGAGTTATTGTTCTATTAAATTATGGTGTGATAGAACAAAAGGAGTTACTTTAACTTTCTTCTATTTGCTGAGATATGCTTTGTGTAAAAATATGACCTACTTTGGAGAACATTCCATAGACTACTGAGTAGAATATATATTGTGTTGTGCAGCTGCTGAATGAAATACTCTGTAGATGTCTGTTAAGTTCATTTAGTCTGTAGTATAAATTAAATCTGAGGTTCTATTTGTGGTAAATATCTCTCCACTGTCATTGCATTAGAGTCTTTCTTTACTTT